AGTTCTCGCGCTACTTAATCGGGAACGACGCTCCCCTGCATTTTCCTGCAGAAACAAACCCTGACCCCGAAGACCTGGGTGGAAATATCTGAGCGGCATACAATCGGAGGGTTGCACCGCCGGAAACCGCATTAATTGCGCATCTCTCAGACAACGCAGACGTGACGGTAAATAGTTGGAGGGTAGTAATTAGTTTTCTCATGGCGATGCTGATCCTTCTGTTTAAGAATGTTCCCAAATTCTTTCTGAGGCGACTCCGTCGCTAGAATTTCCAAGCGGATCCAAAACTCTGAATCAGGTATCCATGGGATGGAAGCGCAAGTATCGTTCGCTTGCCGGCGGTTGAGGGTCCCGCAGACTTCGGATGTGTTCAGAAAGACATTTCGCCAATGAAGCGTTAAAAATTCTCGCGACATCATGTTTTAGGAGAAGGGAGAGGAGTATCTACATTCCATTTTCACTCTTGTCTCTTATATCTTCGTTGGGAATGGTTACATTCCCTCGGCGTCGTAATTCCGAGATTCGACATTTCGCAGCTGTTGACTCGTTGTCCGACGCTCGCAGCGATTTACACGATTTTTAACCATGAAGGTACGGGCATATTCATGCTACTTCTGCGCTCTCACTTTCTTCTTCTCCGTTTCGCTCCTCCGTCTGTTGTGACAGTTTACCGTTTTTCTTGCGAAAAACTCCATGACACGCCGACGGTGAAGTGGGCTTACCCTTAGAATTTCTAAACCACAGAACGATGCCGGCCAGGCAGGAGCTGATACGCGGGCAGCAGGTCACCACAAAAGGGTGATCCTCGCGGCGAAAGCAACCGCGATTTTCGACAGCATAAACAGAAAAGGGAGGTGGATACCGTCCACCGGAAACCCGGGCACAGCGATTCTGCTCGCTGACTTAAAAGCAAATGGGAGCTCCGGGAATATCCATACCTATTTAGAAAATCTGATGCGGAGAGCACATCGAAGACCGATAGTCGTGTGCGATTCTCTCTTTAGAGAACCCGACTCCTACAAGGTGCAACATCGATCGGATTGACCACGGCGCGCAGTGACGTTTTCAACTCGACGCTGGCAAGTCTGACGCGAAACAAATCGATGCTCTAATGATCCACAAGCTTAATGGAAGCGACCAACCACAGGTCGGATCTCGCCGTTTTTTCTGTCGGTGAACCCCGGATCCCCGTCCGAGGCGACTGGCTCCGGAGAGGACCTTTGTTGCAGAGAAGAAGGGGGGCTCAGGCTATTGAGGATCTGTAAAAACTCAGTAAACCGCTTCTCCACTGTCGGACCTCGAGGCGAGCACCGGGGTCGACCCCTGGGTCCACGTATCCCCGCTAGAACAGAGGGATGGGGCTTCTTCGACTCGGTCGTGACTCGTGACGCGGTGATGGATCTTCGAGACGGTGCACCGCTCTGGATTTGACCGGTTTCACTCATGACTGGAACATGGAAGGAAAGTGAAAATTGCGAGCACAGATCCAGCGGGAGCTTTTGTTTCAATCACATTCGTCATACCTTTGTTCCTCTCCGTACTGCCAGCCAGTTGGCGGCACCCTTGACTCTGCTGTCGACCCCGTCGCTCCGCTCGAGGATGTTGCAAGCAATCCAGGAAATGTACGGAGTAGGGGAATGAAGTTTCAGATCGAGATGGGGTCCTGACATTGAACTCACGGGACCTTTTTTTCTTGTCGGAATCATGCTCGACTCAAAAACATGCGCATTGTGTGTATTTGGTTGGCGACGGCGGCGATGTTCGACTGAGTGAGATCAATGGACAACAAGAATGGAACTACAGGAAGATCAATCCGGTAGAAGCTCTGATCGATGGGAGAGCAGCATCGATCGATCGATGGAGCACGCAATTGACTGATCGATGAGAGCTGACTTTGATTGATTGAGACCCCATCGTTCGTTCGAAGCTCATCGCGTGACTTTCTACTTCGAAAAAACTGACTGATCCCGCCACGTCGGGATCGTTTCTGTCGGTTGCGTCATCGCTCCAAAAAAAAAGAACTTTCGCCAACGGCGATCTTGTTGACGTGCGATTTAGATTTGAGTCGAGCGTCTTCGCAAATATAGAACAGCAGCAGGGGTCCGGGCTACTGCAGTGGGATTCGTCATTGGATGCTGATGATTGCCAGTTTACTGACTGACTTGACGGCCGCGAACTTCGGCGCCGGCCCTTGTCCGTCTCTCCATATGTCTGTGGTGTCGGGGGACGACTGTGTGGCCCGGCTCCCTGGATGACTGTCTCGCTGACTGACTGGTCGGCTGACTAGTTGACTAGCTGCCTGGCTACATCATCTTTCTAAGAATAGCCGGAATCTTCTCCACAGCTTGTTGTTATTGTGTCCTTGACTCCGGACGGCACCCTGGTCTCACCGTGGCTTACACAACCGACTGCCAGTATGAGGTTTTTTTTGGGGACGACCATTGACTTCAAACCCACAGTCAGTCACGCACACACGGCTTCTGTCAATCGAGAGTCAGATGTCAGCGATCGTTGAAACAGACAACCGTCGTCATGATACTCGACGTCGACGGCGCCGCCGCCGCCGCTATCGGTTTTGGAACTCCGTTAGCCAAATCATCTCCTCAACAAAGGGCTGCGCAAGACTGCATTGTATTGTGGTCCAGACGAGGAAGAAACGATGAAGGGGGAACGGTGATAGGAAGCAAGTCATCGATCCTCATCTGCTTTTAATCCATTTTTGTGGTACTTGGTAGCTGCCTTCAGCCGAATTCGCATCACCCGGAGTCTCAGCCCTGCCTCTCCTCCATCCGAGTCCCATTGCACAAATGGAGGCTTGAGGCCTGCGGTCAAGTGCATGGTCAACATTTGACCGGGTGGACTTCTGCGAAGAAGAGCCGGCACGAAGATTGCACCACGTGGACGCTAAGTGCCGGAGGCATCTGAGAAATACCGGGATATGAAGTCTGTATAAACGACAAATGACATGGAAGGGATTCCACTCTGGCAGTCCGTCGTCACGATTCGTTTGGCTGCTCACTAGCTCAGAGAAGTTGTTCATTCTGTAACCGCTGCGGGGACGACTGTTTTGTGCAGTTTGTTGGAAAGCGTTAGGCGTTCTCGGGCGGCACGCTTATTTCCTGGTCGCTCATTTGGTCGTTCCTCTGGAGCATCTGTCGATCGAAGGTCGTACTCAGGTGGGGCGCCTGGACGACACATCCCTCCTATTCGTTGCCGGGCTGACCGATCGCCGTGCAGGTTGCCTGCTAGATCGGTCGTTCGGCAGGATTACAAATTACGACCGACTCAGGCATAAGCAGAGATCCGCGACGTTGCCGCTCACAAATATTTACCTTCCATCAGAACTACTGTGATTGCTCGAATCTGTTTACATAACTCCTAGCGATTCCCTCAGATCACCCCCATTGTCTTCTGCAGAGTCTTTATTCAGAAGGCGAATACCTATATTTTTTCTCCATATATCCGTGAAAATTCATGGCCATGACATGTGAGCTCGGGTTGTGATATCGTTCAACATCATTCGTCGAATCGCAACGAGTGATGGAAACGCCACGCCGCAGCAGTGGATTTGGTTTTCGGCAATCGTATAGAACAAGCGATTGCATCCGCTGCTCTTAGCGCGGCCATCCGAACCGATAGAGATTGTGCCACCGGAGTCTTGGGCTATCCCGACTGGTTTCTCACCACATCGAGTGCAAGAGTTCCCACGGAGCCGATGCTCCCCGGAATACAATCCCATCGTTCTGAAACGAGACGATCACTTTGCGTCCTGTGCGGGTAGGGGCGGCGGCTGGAGGGAGCGATCGGGTGTCGATGTCTTCGGATTGAGCCGAATCTCACCGGCCCCCCACGGGTGATTCCAGAAATAAATTGGAGACTTCAGGAATAGTTTCTCGTCTCGATCGACGGAGCCCGTGGTCTCGACAACTTCAGATAGAGACCCTCTGGGTTCAGGGGCCTACATAGGGGCGGCGGGGGCATACTCAGTGTTGATAGGCCGCACGTTGCTCCGTCGCGCTTCAGGTCGAGCGATTTCCGCTGATAAAGAGAGCCTGGGTCAGAGCTTCGCTCATCAGGGGTACTTCCGCGCGGGCTCGCTGGAACCGCGTCACTCAACGTCCATTTTTCGGGAACCCATGCGTCACTGTTCGGGAGAGGAGAAACAAGGCTTGTGTTTTTGACTCTGAAACTTTCGCCACTCATCTAACAGACTCGTTGGCTGGTTTCGGTGCCAGAGGTTCCGTTCAAGCAGTCAGGAGCGTGTCTGTCGAATCGGATGATCTTTGCCTCGTTCAGCCATATCCATTCAAGTGGTATGATCTCTGCTCCCCGTGACCCCTGGTCACGCTGTTCCGGGTCCTCCCCTTCTTCGACTTCATTGCGCACATGGTAATCTCACTCATTGGCAAAGACTGATTCAATTAGCCGATGGTCGTTCTTTGCCACTCGCATTCAGTGATGTCTCGTACGACGATTAGGAACCCTTGCTCCTTCCCATGCGTACTGTGCTCGCTCGCTCGCTGAACGCTGACTGTGCAGAGGTGTGATTGATTCGTCGCTGCGTTAGCGACGTTTCGTCTCGGATCGTTCATATATTATTATCCGTTATCAATCATCCTTAAGACCTTTCGCTGTTAGCTATCAACGGAGTCTCGCCTACGCTGGTCACGCAAACGTCATGACACGTAATCAGGATCTGAGTGTCCATCGATCCGTATGCTGGAGCGATCCGAAGGTCGAACCACATGTGGTCCATGTCAGGCACTCAGAGCGGAGAAGACTTCGACATCAATTAACGACTGTTGTTCGCTATAAGGAACCGCTAAAGAGAGAAATTGGAACGAAGATCCAAGGGCTCCGAGCTCGATGTCGTAACATCAGATTGGAAATGTCGAAGTTTGATCGGAATCTGATCGTTTCGTGACGACCCGCTGATCCAGAATTGATCATTACAACATGGATAAGCACTTGACTCGTGACGATTCGTGGGGCTCCGTGTCAGATTAGAGTTTATTCACAGGAACGTTGTCCATTGAGTAGCGTCCTAAAATAAATACACAAAATAGGAATCAAGACTTTCAGCCAGCGAAGCCATTATCGCAGAGAGGATCAATCGGTTTTCAGTGTTGGTTTCGGTGCCTTCTCCCGCTCGGCTACATCGTCCTCTCGAATGTCATCGACACCGTCCTCAAGGCTACCGGTCATCGCCTTGAAGAGGATCATGGAGATCAACTGTAAAGAAAAAGACAGATGAAGAGGTCTCTCGTCCCAGAATATCAAGCGGGCTCCCTCAGCCGACAGCGTTGTCCAGTGCGCGGAGTGGATAAAGTCGCAGCGGTTCGTCCGTCGATCAGAATCGCGTTCCAGCCGAAACTCCTACGATATCTCCCACTGGAGAGACAAATGGAGGGCATGGGCGGAGGGAAGAAACTGCGGGTCCGGACGATTCAGCAGAAAATCGGCAGGACGCCACAAATGGGAAGCGTGACGCTCTAATGACGCAGCGAAATGTCGGCAGATGACTTTTCTCTCGGAGAGGTAGCACAGACGAGCAGCGGGTTTTCCGAATGCCGACGCTCAAAAAGATCCGCCTCAAAAACATTCCGAAATTCCGGGGTCGATAAGTCGGATAACCGCAGCGCAACTCGATTGGAACCCCTTCTTTCGTGCAACAGTGAAACGGTTTGTCTACAGCTGTGTGCGTTTGTCTGTGTATGAAGGAGAAGTAGGAAGCGTGACAAGGGGGAAACGAGTGACCAAAAAGTCAGTGACCGCAACAGAACGAACAGGCGGACTGATGAGGCATCGTTAAGCGCTTACTTCATAATAAGGAATTTGCTTTCAAGTTCCTTCAGGTCGGCCGTATAAAATGGCACCGCGTCAAGAAGACGAAGCGACGACTACTTTTACAACTACGCTCTCCACTACTACGAGTGCTTCATTCTGAGCGTAACGGACGAGCATTGATTCATTGCGGATAGATTCACCGGTCGTGCCCCGAGCGAAAGCCGCAAGATAAATGTATAATCTGCGGCATTCAAAATTCCTCATCATCTGTTTCGACGGAAAGCTCCACATGGCTTCGACGACATCGACGGAATTTTCTGTCTGCCGATTTTTCGAGCCTTCTTTACGCTATCGATTCAGGCTTCAGACATTCCCACGGTGCATGAGATTCAGTGTGGTACGCGATGAGAGGGAGGAAGCCGGTGGCGGTGAAAACTTTGAATTTCACTCACAATAAACCAGTAAACGTCCATTATGAAGATGACGTAGAGCATGTGGTTCATGATCATCGAGCACGATGTGAGAACGTCCTCGTTCTTCGTTGCCAGCAGAAGACTAGAGGTGCTGTACATCGCTTTGAGTGGGTAGTAGTAGAGGCGTGATAAGGCCCTGAAAGAGAACAATCGGATCATTGCAAAAGTCGGCAATTGAGTTCAGTTGTGAACAAACGAGTGTCATTCATTGGAAAACATCAGGCGTTCGTGGAATGTGTTTCTTTTCCCTTTTTAGCGGAGCTCGATAGTAATCTCATGGTATGTATATCGTTTGAGCCAGGCGTAAACTTTTCTGATGAGAAAAAATCCGCTCCGGCCGGTGTGAACCTCCGCGGAAAGCGGCGAGGTGGTGGCCGCCACCGATGTCGATGTTACCGGGAATCGAATAACGTGGGGCCAGTTGTCATACTTCCATAGTGAAGTTTGACGTACGGGTTAGCCTTATGCAACGATCCGATCTCTCACAATCGAACGAGGCAAAGTGGCCAGGATCAAGAGTCGCTTTCCCAGCTGACGGACTGTCACCAACATTTTGGCTATTTTTCTTCCTCTTCTTCCCCCCCATAATACATGAAGGCGATACGCAGGGAGACATACGCAGCTCCGGACCGCACAATCACCATCCGTTCGAGTGGGAGGAAGCGAGGCATCACCGTTCGTTATTGCCCAATGTTTAATACCAGGTTCGGTTTCATCAAAGCGAACGCCTGTCGGGGCCGGATGTCACAAAAATTCCTTAATCTCTTCATAAGAAGTTCGGGTTTAGCACTTGATATTTGACCTGCTGTCTGTTCCAATTAGGAATTTCAAAAAGAGACCGGGTCAACACGCAATACGTGCTCGCGATCGAGTGGCACGCACTGAAAGCTAAGTCGAAGATCCGGCGAAACTTTCTAAGATTTAGCCATCGCATCACAGTGAGGAATCTCGAGATAATAACGGGTAATCCCTGCGCAGTGGCGATTCTAGTCTCTAGCGCTCTGAACAGTGTGTGGGGTATGCGTTCCCGCGGGGAATAATGTATAATCATGAAGATATGAAGATATCGACATATTCCCACCGACCACCGAGAGGCTCTTTCGGCACGGGCAATTCCGAGCAAGCTCATCGGGAGCTCCCGAAATGACGTTGGCTCGTGGCCACCGACTCGACTCCTCCTCCGTCGGTCTATCAGAAACTCTTTCGGCGTTCGAAGCCCGAGAGGCGCCGCGCTGCGGTCGCGGCATCATTTCAAAAATAGGCGACGTGCGGCGTATTTTTCGCCAGACTGTTTGTTCTGTGATTTTTTTCACAGACTAGAATTTTCTCCTCGGGGAAGAGCGTCAGGAGGTGACAAACGATTTTTTTCCCGCTTCCTAGATTAGCGCCATTCAAAAAGCCCGCTCCCGGAGTACGGGTATTCCGACAGGAGGAATTACGATTATTTTTTCGTTTTCGTTTCTAGCCGCTGTCGCCGCCGCTCGCAGTAAGGGCCCCGTCGACCGCTTGAGTCATAGAGAGAAGAAAACATATATGGGCTCGGAAAGAGGAATCCAGAGACGAAATATTCCACGAGTCAAAGCGGCAATCAAAGGCCAAAAAACCACTAAATTCGTCTGGAATCATGCATGCCTGGCTATCCCCTCACATTCCGGCTACTTGGCTGGCTGGTTGGTTTGCCGGCTGGTCGCCCGTGCGACCGTCCACCCGCCCGCCCGCACTTTACCCTGGACCACAGGTCTCCGGAACCGCAAATACAACTCGCTCGTTTGCTCACAATGGAACACGACTTCTGTCACGGAAATCACTCAGCCCCCCCCGCAGTAGTTTCTCCTGCAGTCCGGGAAGGTTCTCTCTTTCCAGTGAGCACGGGTCTGTAAGCGAGCTCGTCACTCAGATTGCCTTTTCAGCGAGCGCTGCGCTATGGATACTCGACTGAGCAAGCCGATTGAATCCGAATCCGAACGGACACTTGCGAAGCCATCGCAAATTTCGCCGGGGATGAGAATGACAAGCGCTGCCATTGAAAATCGGATCGATGGAGTATTGTACGAGAAGCCGAAGAGCCAGTCTAGAGTGTTTTGACATCATTCAACACTTCTTCCAAAGTCGACGATTTTTCTTTGCCCGATCCGCGTTTCGTAACACTGACTGAGTGATAAGAGCTAATTCGATGGGGTTCGATTGAATTCAAATTGTTCGGTTCGAGGATTTTTCCATGATCGATAGCTTCAGTTCTTCCCTCATCCGCGAAGGTCCAAATCGATGAAATTCTCCATTTCGAAGAAGTTGAGCTGACGATCGATGAGCGGAAGCAAAGCAATCGAAGCGGTCTGCCGTATTGCTCTGATCCCGACTCTCCGAAAGAGATACTAAAGCGTCCTCCTCTCCGACCGCTCGAGGAGCTTGAGAGCCGAAATAATCTTACCATGATGAGATGAGCACGATGAATGCTAAGTCGCCGATGAATTTGTACACTCTGTATTGTCTGCCCTGACGATTCCGCATGAAAATCACAATTTTCAGAAACTCTAGGATGATGTCGGATACATCGTGTAGGAACAAGACCAGGATTCCGACGTTGTGACACCTGTAATTAGCGAGAGTTAAAAGTTTGTTCTGACTTGGAAAAAATGTCAATCCGAAACCCCATTTCTCCGTCACGTTCAGGTGACGACGTCGGTGCGATCACCAAAATCGTTCGCCATTGATTTCGAAACGTGGATTCAAAAAAAAAGAAACGTCTTATCCAACATTCTGTTCGTTCATTCCTACGGAAGTCCGATCGAGGGCAGGCAGCCAAGGTGTCTGTGTACGCCAACATCAAAATCAATCGATAGAGTAATTCGCCCTCGCCGGCGACTTCCCCCACAATCAAAAGAACAAATATACAATCTGATGGACATCGAACGGAGATGTGAACACGCGAAAAAAACTCATAAACACGTATACTTTTCTTCCCGCTAATATTTGGTCACATCCCGTTTTCCGAAGGACAAATTACTTTCCCGAATTGTGCCAACTGGGGGAATAATACTTGCTGAGGTGGCTGTCGGACGTAGGGTCACATGACCCCTCGTGATTTTGCCTCTGCCATGCAAATTTGTGAAAGGCTGAAGCACACAGTTCGCTTGCCTGGCGGCAGCCAGCTATCCGACCGACGAAGCGACCGGACGACGGAGCGCTGAGCCGTCCAGCCGGCCGGCCGGCGGGTAAAGCGCCTTGCTCATCCAGTGAAGCAGTGCGCGATGTGTGGAAAAGCTCGCGATGATCGCTTCGTAATCATTCGACCGCGACCAATCGATCGTTCAACAGGAAGATGCGAACTTTCTCATCCACAATTACAGAGAGAATGAAATCATAAGCTCGTTCATCATTGGGTAACTCGACGCACACACTATTCGGTAACCGATTGAAATCAATCGAAAAGCAATAGCGTTTCGTGATGCCCTCGGGGGAGATTTTCAGAAGATAAGTCTGATATATCTATCCGCTGATGGTCGGGACGCTGTCATGGGCGAGAGCCGCGTCCGCCCCGTATGGGAACTCCCTAGTAGAGGTCAACGTATCAGTACTTCATAGTAGGCACGGCAGGCCTGTACGTGCCCTGGAGTGCCCAAATTATAACAACGCTTTATTCCCGGGGGGGCTCTAGGCACAATGTTTTTACGGCAGCTCTGAACTTTACAAGAACTCGTGACCCTTGTGAATCAGAGTGTAAAAGGAAGAGCTCAGCGGCACTCGGTACGTTTACGCATACGCTCAGAGAAGACCTCTAGCGCGGACGAACACGGAGACATCGTCTCGCCAGACTTTCCGGTTTTCTCTGTAGCTCTCGAGTAGATTCCGACCATGTGACTATGCCGATGGGCACTAGGAGATGAATCCGGTGCTGCACATTGCTCGGTAAAGAGAACGCTGAATTCCGACATATGCGAACTCCATGAGAGATTTCAGGGAGCCCGCTGAGGCTTGTTCGTACCTTTCCGGGGAGGCTCAGCCATCTACGGTACAACCGAGCTAAGTGGTTAAACTCGCAATGATGCTGAATTCGCGGAGCAAGAAACGCATCCGAAACAACCATGGATTGGCTATTCTCTGCAGCTGATACTTCCGCGACCTCTGAGTTTGGTGGGATACCAGCGAGGCGCCTGGTGTCTCGGTCAAGCGCAGCGAGTGTACGGGAGCCCAGTGGAAGCCGGATAGCGTGAGTATCTGGCGGCTCGACGAGGTGGGCTTCGTGTCGCGATTGCGATTACGGATTGTGACCAGCTCGATCACATTGAGTCGTCGTGTGGACTCGTGACGGCGAAACAAAGCAGATCTCGTGCAGCGGACCCGATATATTGGATCGAAACCGGACTTTCGCGAGCTGAGTTCAGGTTGTGCGGTCGTGAACTGCGACCTGACATTGATGGTTCCTAACTCCACAGAGCCCCAAAAGGTCTCCGGCCGCGTACCGGAGACTTCCCCCATAGTCGGAATCTCTTCCTCCCCCGATATTTATCGTCGAGACTTCGTATGAGCATACAGCACACGGAATATTCTCCGTCTGTGAAGGTCAAAAAGCAGGCACGGCCTCGCTGCAGAGCTCTGAACTCGCTGCTCGAGAGTCTCCTTCGGCAGGCAAAGGCTAGGAGAGAGAGGCTGTCAAGACAGAACTGAAATGGAGAAGAAGATACCGCGATCGCTCACCTTTGTACATAGGAGAGCCAGAGCAGGAGAATGCAGATGATATGGTGTGTTGCCATGACCGGGGAGTCTTTTCTCCAGACATCGTGGACAAACAGCGTGTATAAACCGTGAATGTAATACGAAACCTCGATCATGTATAGTAGGTAGATATCCCTGTGGACCTCCATGTCCATGCTCCATCCTGAGGGGAAACAAAGGCTCCTTAAAATCCCTCGGTCCAATCCGCAGACGAGCGTTGGTCCGTTCCCGGAAATAGATTTTCGTGATATCATCATTGTTCACGAGAGTCCGTCGGAATCGATCGACACGACCCCCAGCTCGAAATTCGATCGACGACATTGCATGATCGCCCTCTGTCGGGGAACGGGCGTCGGTCGAAGGAACAGAGAGATAAGCCGCGGACGAATTCCCGGAATGAAACGCCTCAAATTGGCCATGCGGATTCAAATCATTTCTGATCAACACCCAGATACCCGGTCGGGCTCGGCTCTCTCTTGGCGAAAGCGGAGATCTCCGATTAGCGCTCCGTCCTGTTCGACTTCCCCGAGGGAAACTCCTGTATCCTATCGATCGAAGAGAAGAGCTCACCGTCCCAAACCGTGGAGGGTTTTTGGAAGAAGTGATGGCGCCCGCTCAAGATGAGAATGTAGAACGTGTATGTCCACATACAGCCGTGAAATGCAAGTTTCCATGCCGACTCCGGGAATTTCACCAAGTTCTTCTCATCGAGGTTCAGAATGGAGCCGACGGGCTGCGGAAAACCAGATGAGCGATCAATTTCATTCGTTCGCTCCGTTTCATTCATCCACGCCACGTGCCGTGAATCAGCGAACCGCTCCCCGCGTTGTTACGCTACACACGTAAGCGAGCCGCTCCAGGAGAGGAACAGAAGCGATCGCCCATTTCCAGCCCAGAGTCAGGATGGCAGGGCATATTTTCTATGATAGGTATTGGACTGGATAATATCGGGAGAATCAGTCATTTACCCTCAGAACGAATTTGGTGAGGAAGGCTCGGAAAATTGTGAGCGAGACCGCCAAGACCAGTATGGCGCACATTTCATTCTGAGTGAGGCGCTGCATAGCTTCGAAGTCGGTGAGTAACGAGCTCGCCAAGCTCTCGCGACCAGGAGGTTTTCTGAAATGTAATCGCATGTCAATCGACAGAAGGTCTTCAACTCAGCGTTCCGCCCGCATTATCGGAAATCATGTGAACACAATATGAATCGCTCTCTGAGGGAATACCTGTGCCATGCGTAATAATTTATGTCGTAGATCCCGCGGAAGAGTTCAAGGTAGGATGGTGTCGGTTCCCACTCGTGGATCCGGAGTAGGCTCATGACGCCTGGAAAGAAGTAGAAAATTTCGGCTGACTATGACGCAACATAGATATTCTGCGCTGCCCTGATGATGAATTCTTCAGATACAGAGCGAGTGGCTCATAGACAGATTCGGGAGATCACACGCCTTACACCGAGAGGTCACGTCGATTTCACGTCGAATGCGTTCTCCGGCGAGAAGCCCTCTCTCGCTTAACGCTTCTTCTCCTCACACTCGACCAGCTTTCGGGAGATCAGCAGGTCGGAATTCCTGTCATTCATCAGTCGGAATCACTCAGATCGTCGAGGTACCGTCGACCACACTGTCTCAGTTGGGAGGCGCACGCTTCGCCACGAAAGTTGTTCTGCAGAAGCCCGACCTCTCGAGATTCTCGATAACAGAATCGAGATTAACTCTCGACTTTCCCGAGTGGGAGAGCGTCACATTGTGTAAACTCTGGTCAGAGCTATCGCAGACACAAGGACGTTAGGACTTCCCGTCATCGATGAATTAGTCTTAGCAGAAAGGAACCGGAGATAGAGACGAGAGAGAAAGACCTCACACCCGCTTCGTCGATCGGGAGCAAATCTATTCGGGGAGACGCCGCTCTTGAGAATAATCTGATTCTTGTATGTTTCCCGTCTTATCGGGTTGCTCCCGAGAAAACTACGGATAAGATTCCGGTGAGGGTGTCTCTATACGAAATTGGAGGTACGCGGTCCACACGAGGAGAGTTCGTCATACACGAAGAATTGGTTTTCCATCGACAGAGTCTCTCGTCCGATGCTGAGATCGAATATCATATCTCACTGGCGGAGCTGACCATGCAGAACACACTCCCTCGGGCGGCTCTCATACATTGGATCGATTCTATCGTGCTCTTCCCACGCTACCCGTGAAACTCTGTCGAGAAATAAACATTTCGACGCGAAATCACTCCCCTGAGCTCAAGGTAGCCCCTCCTAAACCATTCCACGTGAGCATCTGGCTCCAGGCGAACAATCTCACCTCCAAGCCGAATATCTTTTTTCTCTCCCTCCCCGCTTAAGTGGAATATGTATGTCCACTGGACGGCGCGATGCAGCCCGATACCGAGCTTGGAGCGCTACGGCACCGATATCCGCGACTTTTTCATCCATACTCGAGATAACCAGAGTGGTCATAGCGTAGACTATACCAATACACGGAACGTTCTGTCCACAGTTCGGCTTGAGATCAAAGAACGACCGAAAGAGCCGAAAGTATAATATCTCCTTGTAGTGACACCGAATAGGGCACGGTTTCCGATAAGGTGACGGGCGTCGATCGGTGAGCGCGATCATAAGCGGACACAGCACCATAATGTCAAGACGAGATATACGCGACTCGATACCTCAATAGGCGCGCCGCGTCGCCGTGACTGGCGTTAGAAGACACGAGAGGTGAGTCCGCGCGTTCACCCGAATGGGACTTCCCGTGCGGCGGCTTTCTCGAGGCTTAACCTCTTTTCCGAAAACGAGACACAAGGACGAGATCATGCCGATGGATATCAGCGGGCTACCCGGTCGAAACTCGTTTCTAATGTCGTTCGCGCATAGTCTCATCTATCTACCGCAACATTGTTGAAACATTGTTCGACAATCATAACAGACCGGCACCGAGAAAATAATAGACGTCGACTCACCCAGAGTAAGCATAGCTCACGCGGGGCGATCATGCGTTGAGAGTGTCACTTCGACCGACGCACTTGGCACTATTAAGAACCGATCTATCGAGCTATCTAGGACGGACCGCCCGATGGTTGACGCAGCGGGAGAATTTCAAGGGGATCTTCAAGCTCCGAGCGGACAGACGTCGACAATGCGGATCAACTCCGAGTTACACTGTCGAGCTCCGGTGGTACGAGCGCCTGTTCAACAACAACAAGCACTCTGGCATGCCGTCTCCCGGGTAACCTCAATGCCCTTCCTCACTCACGACCCTTTCACGGCACAAACCTCCCTCCACCTGTGCATGACTTCTATTCTCGTCGAATGGCTCTTCCTTCCTGGATCACAAGTTACGTTCGAGGTTTTCGCCCACGCTGAACGCCGAGATCGATCCGCGTCGCGACACGCTCTCGCTGACGTAATTTGGGCAGAGATTTCTCCGGGAACGGTTCCAATCTGGCGCTCGGATCCGATTGGAGTGAAATGAAGCCAAAGGCGGCGCTCACTCTGCTCTGGGAGCAGCCGTAGTTCTCAGAGAACGATCGAGCTGATTCTCGCATAAGCCGATGTTACTCACGAATCATATGAGAAAGCGGCCCACGCCGCGCCTGCTTCGTACGAGGATCGCTGGGCGAGCGGACTAGGGCCTCGGGTGAGGACACGGAGCGTTCTCATTTTTCGAGTACCGTGCGTGAGGGGAGAGAGTTCCGTAGTTGACTTCGTGGCAGCGGGCCGATTCGTCATTAAACGCACGAGATGGGGAGGTACACGAGAGTCCATAGTCTCCGATTCGGCTTCAATGAGGGGTGTTGGCTCCGGCCTCAGTTTTGTCTGCTTCCGTCAGGTGAAGCCAGGAGTCACTGGGGAAGGAAAAAATATCCGAGCGGAAGCCAATGGAGCATTAATTCATCATTTATTTAGTTGGACGGCTCTGTTCGATTCGGCTTCGAGCTGTTTAGTCCTGGCCGTGGCGCAGAATAATGACGAGCAGTTCAATGATATGGTTTTCGGTCGCATCGAATCGTCATTGTGTTGGGCACTTTCGCGCTACTGAGTGAGAGCCAGCCTACCAGCCATCCAACGACTGACTACGTCAGTTCGCCAGGCGATGGAGCCGTTCCTAGCGCGCTTGACAGGACAGTCGGAGAAAAATCCTGCCTCAACGAGGCGCCATCAGGTCTCCCTCAGCAAGTTCCTTCGGAGAGTATCTGCCGCAGCCGCTCGAAGCTAGATGCCCACTTCGTGCTCCGACCCCTCTCTCGGACTCAGCGGATTGAAATCCGAATATCTTTCTCCAATGCAAGTACAACTTGCCCGATAGACTTCTGATATATCCGAGATACGATGGGAAAACCACCTGCGCAAACCCGCTCGAGAAAAGAATATTCCGCAAGACATTCTTCGACTTCGATCTTCGGAATCGGCCGACTCTCGGGAAGTTTTCGACTTCTCGAGGCACCCGCAGCACCGGGTCACTGCTTCGAGAAGGGGTGCTTCGCTCTCTTTGGTAGTTGCCACGGGCTGCGCTCGGAAGGGATATCAACGAAAAACGTCCGATGCTCTCTGAATAAATGATAGCGAGCTCATTCCTTACTTTGAGATGGATCGGATGTTATGCAGTGATCGTCATAGATGTAATCGGTGCGGGAGGGCCTTCGATAGTCGGACTCCGATGTATTGGCATCCAGGGAGCGATGGGGGCGAGTCTCGATCGCCAGAGGGGACTGCTCGATGCCAGCGGATACGTCTTGCTCTGTCCACGCATTGTGTGTACAAGTTTTTGCATCCGAATGATGTGTACTTTCGTGTCCGCTGTCGTCCGTGCTCGCGCCGAGACGATGCCCAACAACCATCGATTCCTCCAATTCCGATCAAGGCATGTCAACTGGAGAGGGAATCAAGTGAAGGATCGGCGATAGTTTCCTGTCCATTGTCAGGAGCCAGGATCCTACCGAACTATAAAGCCTGGACGAAATGCGATACACGAACGAGCTTCGTGTCGAGTCCTTTCGAAAACAAGCAACGGAAACCTGTCATGGATGTCAGATGGAATGCTCTGTCACCATTGGCCTCATGGGATTCGAGAAGGGAGGCAGTTCATGCTCTTGGATAGAGAGTGAATTCAGATCACAGATTCCCCCAAGTTACCAACGGTTCTGACTCAGACCGTCTGAGTCGCGTGATTTATTCTCGCGAATATGTCGCTCAGTGATCTGACAATGAGTCGATCGACTGTATCTTCTCGGTACAGAAGTATGCGACGCCCGACTCACCTATAAGTCGATGGAACGCATTACAAGTGGTATCATCGATTAGTCGGCGTAGAGTCGGAGGAAGTTCACCTTCCAGGCGTGCCCTCAATGCCAGAGAAGGCGAGGCGGGCCTCGACAGGTGTGGGTTGTGCGCCGGATCGATGATATACCGAGCCACGACTTCTCGGTCGAGGATGTCCGATATAGGAGTACGCTCAGGGCATCAGAGCTTACCTACTCTTGTGTATTTCAAACGGTTCCTTTGGGGCTGTCGCGTTCTCTGCATGATGATTTCCCGCATCGATGGTAGGATATGGTAGACCGCATCGTACCCTTGTAGAGTGCTTGAAAAACTCTATTCTCGCTCGCCGTCGGCTGCACCGAAAGGGCCCCCTGGCCTGTGACGTGCAGGTCGGGCGAGAGAGCTTGGGCGGTCGTGGGTCATGGCCTGAAGAATCCACTCCACCTTTCCGCGATACAAAATGGGTACTTGTCTTATTATCGTCCAATCTTTCGACTTAAACCCAACAGCGCCGGCGTTACCCGGGAAGCAGAGGTCCTTTCGCGTTCTATAAGTGATTTATTCTCCGGACACTCCTTCACTCGGAGTCTCACGTGGCTCCTGAGGACTTTTTCCAGACTCGAGGCTAGTAGTCAAGGACTGCGGTCCTTGCCAGCAGCTCCTCGAAGTTCCCTATACACGGCCCATGTTGAGCTGGAACCACGAAACATCGCGGTTCAAGGAACCCCGCTCCTTTGGAAACCCCCTTCTCGATCTCCGTAGCGTCCGGATGGGAGAAATAATTCGGCTGCCGGATTCGTCGACGTCGCACTGCGAGTCGACCTGAAGCGTCCCCCAGCGTCACCTTTCGCTTCCGCGAAGGATGCGAATTATTCTTATTCACGATGATTGTTCATTTCCCCATGCAATGCTACTTTGGGCGTCGATATGCTGCGGAGCTCATTCGTCTTGAGCTGTCGCTGTGCGAGCGACCGCTGTGCGTCAAGCCTTCATGTTCAATACAAAGCTACACCTGCATACAAATCTGCATGCTCTAATCGGCGGTCGTTTGTTTTTCGAGAAACATCTCTCCCGTAGGCCATTGGGGAGCTTTTTCAGGCTCTCTAATGGAAAGCTTCGCTTACGATCCGGGAAAAATTCTAGATACCTACATTGAATATAACGCGTCACGAGGGCTAGCCCCTATCAAAAATAACCGAGATCCGATAGAATTCTCTCCGAGATTCCGAGGCCGACTGATTCAGGAACGGACTCTCGCAGTAAACCGAGAAGCGGAAACTCTGGGTTTGATTGACTCCTCTCCTAACTCATTTCGATTTCTCTATTTCAGGTAAGTCACGGGCGGAATTTCAATTGCCTCCCTGCCGTTTAAGATCGAAACTCTGCAGCAAGAGGCTGTATGGACGAGAGTCGAGATGGACTCCGGTCATTCCTCGTTATGAACAGGAAAATGAGTGACGGGTGCCGTGAACCTAATGGATAGTGGCCGAATGATTCAGATGCGAAATCGATGTCAAGCATACGACTCGGCGAACGCAGTGATCGTTGATTCGTAAAACTCACGATTCCGATCGCAGCACGCCCCCGCTCAGGGCAGAGGTGCTCGCGCTATACCGTCCGTTTCGAGCTTTCTCCCAAAGCATGAGCAGTGTGCCGTACTGAACATCTGGCTGAAAAGCGCTGAGATGCTCTCGGAGCCCCGTCTGAGGCTTCAGGGCTGCTTTCAAAGCCGTTCCCCCTGCCCTCGATCGAAGATGCGCTCGACAAGACGGTGAGTTGAGCTCATCGTGATCTTGATCTTCGATGCCTAAAACTCCGGGGCTTTTCACGGCGGGTTCCGTAGTTTCCACCTGACCGATCGACGCAAGCGACATAGTGTTTATATGGAGACGTTCAATGAAAGCCACCGGGGAGGGTCTGCGCTTGGAACGCAACCGAGAAACTCAAAGCTTCTACTTCATCGGTTTCTGCAGTCTGTCTGGAGCGAGTGGTCGAGCCAAACGGAGAGCGAGCGCCACGGCGAGAGGAATGAGTGGATACAATGCGCAAACGTGTGTTTGGACGCTTCAAATGGAAGACATTACGCTGTACTGAGTGTCATTATTACATCACTTTCATTCATGAAACGCCTCTGTTTGTCCCGACCCACACTGCAGACGGTGCGAAGCCGCTATCGTCGTCCATGCGAACTCGTTGTCGTGATGGTATAATTAGAAATGAAGACCTGCCCGCTCAGTCAGTAACGCAATAATAATCCAGCAAGAGGACTGAAGACATTGACTCTCGCATCGGTTGTTTGTAGAGTTTCGTTTCGGTGAAGCTCCATTTGTACCACCGCCGTCGCGCGCTGTTGGGACGTCTCAAACGTGCGTTGTTGTTGTTTTTGTTCATGACGAAGATTAATAGCGCAGACAAGGAAGTAACCAATTGGTTCTCGCATCGAATTGCGAGGGGAGCGAGCCATGAACGGGACTCGGCAGACGTCGGCGGAACGGAAGTTTTGGGCTCTCTCTCGAGAAAACGTGGAGCTGGGACTCGGTACCTCTGAGCCTGACCGTATTTTTTTGACAGCCGCCGTACACTTTGTTTGCTGCTCGGGGCCTCGTCAAACTCGGGACTTTGCGTGACATTTGCAGCAAGCGATCAAGTGACGGCTCAGAAAGCGAACCTTTGAAAAACACTTTTCCAAACCACGGTGAGGCTCGATGAAACATGTCTCTGAGGTCCAGTCCAGAGCTCGCAAGAACCGGGAGACCGGCCCAGGAACACAAGAGGAGCGATCTCAATTCCAGAGCTGCCTGAATGCTATTTGACTCGCGTTGTGGAGTGCCCTGCTGAAATAATTCCTGCGCAGACAGCTGTCGGTGAAGGAATGTGGTTTTCCCGGGACGATAAGAAATTCATCGATGCAGCTGACGACGAACGCCGTCGAAGGCGTTCACCCTTTCCTT